CAAAAAGGAGTCCCATAATTTACAAGGGGCGGAGATTTGCGACCTCAAGAAAACAGATTTCATTCCAGTTTTAAATTTAAAGGTAAGTAACAAAAAAATAAAATACTTTGTTATTGCCGCTGTACGGTAAGCTGTACGGCTTGCTACTATTTGTTCTCATATAACCGCGAAGCTACAATTGGCGTTTGGTTATAGGCTCACCACGTTACACTGAAATATGTACGACTGGCAAGTACGGTAGCGTAATTTGTACCCAGTATGATTCCATAGCGTTGGCTTTGATAAATTTTGATGAATACCGTTTACGTTATGCTTAGTAATGTTTGTATGTAAACTTTAGAGGTTCTTAACATGTGGTCCAGCAACCCCTTGCGAACCTTGAAAAGATGCCAGGAGGCCCGAGAGCCGCATTTTCTTTCTAATTTTATTTTATACTTTTAAAAATTTTATTTTAAGAAGAGGTCCAAGGCCTTCATTTGTCTGACAACAGGACTTAGAAAGTTTGAGAAAACCCGAGCTAATGAGCCTAAATATTCGGTTTGATTTTTTTTAAAATATTGATATATATTGATTAGAGCATAATTTTTATTTAAATATATTCTAGAATCCATCGGCAAAAGCAGCTTATGAAAAATACGTCACTAAATTATGTTACTCTTTTGCGCTTTAAGATCAAGGATATGCATGCATAGAAATTTAAAACGAGAACAACATACAGGGCGGCCCAGAAACAGTGAGAGCAACTCGTAACAAAGGGTCACATAATTGAGTTAATGTAATGTAATGTCATTGACATTTGTATGAAAATTATTAGGCTAGTCAGCACAAGTTAAATATGTCTCTCTCTCTCTCTCGTTCTCTCTCTCCCACCACTCTCCCCGCTATTCGACGACTTATTGTAAGCTTTGGCACCATTTTTATGCTTCTGACAGACATTATCACATTTTTTTTTTGGAACACCCTGTACCTACAAATCTGGTCGAGCACAAAATCAAAATATTTAGGAAGAGATCTGCGATAGTAAATTATCCTTGTATGCATCACTTGCGTGTAAGGTGCGGAAGACAATTGTGGATTGTGTGCGAGGCTGCGAGGCAGATGAAGCCTGCGCTATTCAGGTCATGGCATCATGGCAATGGCCGTCCAACTGCTGGATACTGAGTCCAGTGGAGGAAAAAAAAATGTCAGCATTCAGTATCGATTGGATGAGTCAATCCGAGTCAATCTCTTTTTTTTCTTTTCCGTTCAGCTTTGCTGGTTGAGGTTGACCTGCAACTATTCTAAGGCCATGAGAAATGAAAATCACATTACTAAAGCAGCTAGAAATTAGAGGCATGGTGGTATAATTATCGAGAAATGAAAAGCATTGTTCTAAGACATGCATTGCCGAAATTGAGAAATGAAAAGCATTGTTCTAAGACATGCATTGCCGAAATTGAGATATGAAAAGCATTGTTCTAAGACATGCATTGCCGACATTGAGACATGAAAAGCATTGTTCTAAGACATGCATTGCCGACATTGAGAAATGAAAAGCATTGTTCTAAGACATGCATTGTCGACATTGAGAAATGAAAAGCATTGTTCTAAGACATGCATTTTCGACATTGAGAAATGAAAAGCATTGTTCTAAGACATTGTCGACATTGAGAAATGAAAAGCATTGTTCTAAGACATTGTCGACATTGAGAAATGAAAAGCATTGCTCTAAGACGTGCATTGCCGACATTGAGAAATGAGCGGCACTGGGAAAATGACTGTAATTGGAAAGCGTGTACCATAAGGGAATAAAATACGCTGTTTAAAAAATGACAAGAATGAAAGAGAATAAATGAATGATGCTATAATTCTCTATGTATGATAAAGAATATGATAAAGAGTATGATTCATAGTATGATAAAGAGTATGATAAAGAGTATGATACAGAGTATGATAAAGAGTATGATAAAGAGTATGATAAAGATTATGATAAAGAGTATGATAAAGAGCATGATAAAGAGTATGATATAGAGTACGATAAAGAGTATGATAAAGAGTATGATAAAGAGTATGATGTAATGTTGTCTTCAAATAGCGCATAAAATAAAAATCGCCCCCCCCCCTTTCCGATAACTGCGCTAAATGAGATTCTTAAAAAAATACCCCAAGTGTCTTTATGTTTTACCGAACTGTTCTTAATCTACATAGGATGTCATAAGTATGTGGTCTAAAAAAAGGGGGGGGGCAATGTTCCTTACAAGCTGCGCGGCCGGGCAGCTCCCTCACAGACACCGCGCAGCGAAATTCCATGTAAGTGTTGTTCTTTTTTTGTGGGCTGTCAAATTTTGCACACACAAAAATTAATGCTGCCCACAACTGTATAATTTTGCACACGTACCAGCAAACCTTGGAGGGAACATTGGTGGGGGGGGGGGGGGGAAACACTATTTCGAACATTGATACAGTTCGTGAGCGTGAAAAATAGTGGGGGTGGGGGTGGGGGGGGGTTTAACACTATTTAGGATTCTTAAAGCGTGCCTTACTTAAATACATCTTTTGTCCGGTAAATTGGGCATCTGGGGAGTTCACGCATAACCGCCGCCATTNAAAAAAAAAATTTATCAAAAAAACTTTTCACAAACGGTTTTAAAAAAAAAAAAAAAAAAAGCTTGCAGTGCTTTTTTTTGTGCCGGTACGCACCGGTACGGCGTACCGGCACCTTTTTCAATGTGGGGAAAAATTATTACTTTTCTTGTATTTTATCGTTTTTTTATTAATTTATTATATTATTAATTTGTTAAAATTGAATTATTTTAAAATTAGACATTTAGTATCTTTGCAGCTGTGATCTAGCTTGCATGGAGGTGCGAACTGGTCGTTCAAAGTTAGGCAATCCATCACTGAGTACCGGCACCTTTTTTCTTTTTTTTACAAAAAAAAAGCATTGAAAGCTTGTATTATAATAGTATAGACCTTGCGCAGCAGCAATCTTACAACAGACGCACTACTCCCCCATGCTGTCTGATAGTGTTCATTCTGTCAGCTTTGAAATCTTAATCCTTCAGACATAAGTTGGTGAAAATGTCCTTCAGCATCCAACCCTCGAGCCAGCAATAGCTTGGGGGGGTGGGGGGTGGGG